CAGTTTTCTTGCTAAAGGAATTTGAGTCTGTATTTAATTCTTACCAATAAGAAATACATAATTATTTATGAGTGAAATGAGATGTCTGGGATTTACGTACTCTAGCAAAAAAAAAAAAGGTAAGAGGAATATAAAAACAAAAAGCCGTTCTTGAAGGATGATAAATACCTAGGTCTTCATTGTCCTGTGTGTGTGTGTGAAATGAAAATTTCTATGAAAAAAATGATTAAACTTTGCGTTAGCAAGTCTGTCAGTGCCATTTTTCCAATAGCATGTGCTCACTTCATGCCACTGTAACTTTTTTTTTTTTTTTTGAGACAGAGCCTCAAGCTGTCCCCCTGGGTAGAGTGCTGTTGCATCACAGCTCACAGCAACCTCCAACTCCTGGGCTCAAGCGAGTCTCCTGCTTCAGCCTCCCAAGTAGCTGGGACCACAGGCGCCCGCCACAACGCCCGGCTATTTTTTGGTTGCAGCCATTATTGTTGTTTGGTGGGCCTGGGCTGGATTCGAACCCCCACCTTAGGTGTATGTGGCTGGCGCCTTAGCCACTTGAGCCACAGGTGCTGAGCCGTTGCCACTGTAACTTTTTAAAAAAATTTTTTGAGACAGAATCTGACTTTGTCACCCTCAGAAGAGTGCCATGGCATAAGCCTAGCTCACAGCAACCTTAAATTCTTGGACTCAAGCGATCCTCTTGCCTCGGCCTTCGGAATAGCTGGGATTACATGTGTCCACCACATTGCCCAGCTAGTTTTTCTGTTTTTAGTAGAGACAGGGTCTTGCTCTTGGTCAGGCTGGTCTCAAACTCCTGAGCTCAAGCAATCTACCTGCCTTGGCCTCCCAGAGTGCTAGGATTACAGTTGTGAGCCACCGTGCCTGGCCTCTATATCACATTTTTTAATAACAAAATATTTGGGGGCGGGAAGCAGAGGCTTATGCCTGTAATCTTAGCACTCTGGGAGGCCAAGGTGGGAGGATTACTGGATCTCAGGAGTTCGAGACCAGCCTGAGCAAAAGAAAGACCCCATCTCTATAAATAATAGAAAAATTAGCCAGGCATGCTGAAGTATGCCCCTACTCCCAGCTTCCCGGAGCGTGAGGCAGAAGGATTACAAAAGCCTGTGTTTGAAGCTGCAGTGAGCTATGATGATGATGCCACTGCACTCTACCCCAGGTGACAGAATACTCTGTCTCAATAAATAAATAAATAAATAAAATTTAAAATTATGGCATGCATTATACCTTCCTTTTAGACACAATGCTATTGCACACTTAATAGAGTGCAATACAGTGCAAACATTACTTTTATATTACTTTTATATGCACTGGGAAGCAAAAGCATGTGTCCTGCTTTATTATAATATTCTCTTTATTGCAATAAACCAAACCTGCAATATCTCAGAAGTGTGCCTGTATTTTGGTGCTTTGCTATTGGACACGAAGGGTACGTGACTATTACAGGTTCACTGTGGGATCTACCTTTCATCAACATAAAAGAATTATTTCAGTCCCACTTACTATTTCTTTCATTTTCATTTCCTACCTTATATCATTTTTTAAAAGCAAGAATCACATTGGAAAACATTTCTGAAAGACTCCAATGAAAGAAAACAAGTGATTTTCTTCAAGCACCTCAAGCTACCATGCAGAAAAGCAGAGAGTTATCCCACTTGACACAGCTTCACACATGGATTTTAATAATTTAGGGAAAATACATGATTTACCTATCAGGAGGTACATTTTTCTAGGAGCCAATCAAACTTTAGGAGTCTAGCTGTAATGCAAAGACATCAATCAGCCCCAATAATTCTCACTGATGAATATTTAATATAAACACAGAAGATGACAGAAATAGCTCAGTATCTCCTGCAGTGGGAAGAAATCAGTAGGGGACAATGCCAGGGACCACTATGGGCCTGCTCCCAACACAAATACCCATGTGTGTGTCCACAGTCACATGTGTATATGAAGTCACACTCGTGTGCATGTACATACACCGCCACGTGTGTGCAAGCACTCACATATGCAAATACACACAAAGGCGAATGCACATAGTCTCCACAAGGCTATCTCAGGACACTTCAGAGTCTCTCAGGAAGCTTCTGCTGAACCACTACTGCCTATTCCCTCATAGGGGCTAGGAGTCATTCCACAGAAAAGAAACTGGCCGCCGTGCAGAGTCAAGAACTGGTCCTTAGAACACCATAACTTCCTCTCTCTGCCTCCACTTACCAACAGACTATCTAAATGACAAGATCATATATGAGACCTGTGCACCAATCGTTAACAGCTGACTTACTATGGATAAACCATTAACAAGATTTAAGGTAATAGTTTCCCCTGTAAGGGCCTCCGTCAGCCTTAGATTCAAGTCTATCCTGCAGGAGAAACCGGTTATGCTCACTACCATCTAGTACAGGGAGGCTGGCAGCTCCAACTCTGAGACTGTACTAGATGGAAAGGAGAGAGCAGCCTGGGGCAAGAGGAAAATAAGTGGGAGAGAATTAAGCTGGTGTTGAGGGGGAGATCAGGACAGATGGAAAGATGGAAGGGTAGGCTGGTGCTGGGAGTCCCACTTCCTCGGGGCAGATCAGTTTCCTACAGGATTTACAAGGAAGGAGCAGCAGACTACCCCCAGGAGCCAGGTGACACTCCATGAGAAAGGCACCCCAGACTGTGCCCTTGTGAGCTAGGCACTTCCCTATCCTTTCCTGATTTATGACCTTGAGATGCCTCCCAACACCTATGTCTCTGATTTCGTGTTTCCTAACTTTGGCTTGATTTTTAACTCTTTTATGAACCTGTTTGTTATATGAAGGGTGCCACACTCAAGGTACAGGAAATTGGGCTCTAATAGCTTAATTCTTTTTTCTGGCATAAACAGGTTCCAAATATCTATCATGAGTAATCCTCAGGCTTAGTAAAGGACTAGGAGTATTCCCCCACATTCTATCATGCTACCATGTTATTAGCATCAACGTGGCCCTACTTGCTACCCCAAGACAGGTAAGCTAGACATAACAAGAAGCAGGGGGTGAGAAACTGCAGACGCCTAATCCTGACATGTCACCTGGCTGAACTTTGGTAGCAGAAACTCAAGGGACACAGATGTATGGTTTTGCGGGTATGGACACTGCCCTGTGGTCCAAAGGATGTGTCTCTGTAGCAGACAGAAACCTGTAACAGTGGATACTGTCTTAATTCCACTGCTGGCTTCCAGGGTTCTGGAAGTTTTCATTTACAGCTAAATCCTAGTTTTTGCTGACAATGTGGGTAAATCTGACATCACTTTTTTTTTTTTTTTTTTTTGCAGTTTTTTGGCCATTGCTGGGCTTGAACCCGCCACCCCTGGTATATGGGGCCAGAGCCCTACTCCTTGAGCCACAGGTGCTGCCCAATTTGCCATCACTTTGTCCAGCAGGTAAGCCCAATGTATAAATGGAAAATCTATTATTTTAAATTTTCCTCACTGATATTGAAATCTTACAGATGCTGTTAAGATTTCTAAGCATTATGTTTATTTCTTCTGGCCAACCATGTGGGCTGATTCCTTTTATGTCTTAATAATTAAGTGTACACCTCAAGCAGCCACAGAGAAGACTTCTTAGTGACTCAAGTGGAGGGAGACAGAGAGACAGATGGGCAGGGGAAAGAATACAAAGGAAATGCACAACCCCCTCCCAGGTAGACAGAGGGTCAGGGCACAGGCCTGGTTCAATCAAAGGTGAATCCTCTCCGGCCTCTCATGCCCCTAGGCCTTCACCCTGCTCCCAACCTCCCTCTCTCAGTCCCACGCTGGTTCAGTAAGCCCTGATTACAGTTCCCTGCAAGGTTGGGTGAACCCTTTACCTACGCGCAGCAAGCCTCGAAGCCCTCAGAGGACATTGCCAAGGTGGGGCCAGTGGCCAACAAAGAGATGTGGCTGGCAGTACCCTCCTTGGCCCCATTTACTTTCTCCTGATTTGAATTAGATTTTATCTAATAATAATATAGTCATCTTGATTTCTTTTTATTTGCATTTATGTGGGATGCCTTTTAGCATCCTTTAAATTTTAACCTTTCCATGTGATTTTATCCTTAGTGTACTGAAAGTCCCTGGGTTACTAATAAGATATGTTTGGTAAGTTTGTTCTTAAGTTGAATTTGTATGTAAGCTGTAACAGCTACACATTTACCTATTGCCTGTAAAAGTCCCTGTTTGTGAGTGCGAGTCATAGTCAGTCAGACATCTGTTAACTCAGAGACTGCCTGTAGCCACACTCGTAACTCCCTTTTAAATGGCTTAATCTTTTATGTATCAAGTGATTTTTTTCCCTCTGTTTACCTTTACAGAGAAGCAAGCTTAAAATGCCCAGTATTAGGAATTAAAATGGCTTTTGACCAGCAAGTATGTGGTTCCTGTTCAAATCTGTCAGGACCAGATAATGAAAAAAAGGAAAAATTTTAACATATTGTATTTTTCCCTTACCAGTTTGGTGATCCAAGAATCTTGGACAGTCAAGAGCAAGCTATAGCCAGAGCTAGAAAATGTCTGCTTTAGGGTTTATTTTTAACCTCATTGGCAAATTATTCTTAGGAGGTGTCACTTTAAGTGGTATACGACCTACACAACAGGGAGCAGAGAGAAAGTGAGCCCAGCAAGACCCTCACCCTGTACATTTGCTTCTGCTACCAAGTGCCTATGACCTCAGGCCCTCCACAGCTAAGGGGTGCTGGTGGAGTTCACCGTGGGAATATCTGCCCTCCTTCCCAGGCACACTCTGCATACTGTGAAACTCTTCCCCTAATTCACCCTGGCCAGGACTCTGCCCTGCAGATATTCCCCAGAGAGTATAAGAGGTAGGCCCTGATCTTTCTCAGTACTTATTTTATATTTTGACAACTATTTTAATGGGAGCTTGGTGAGAGGCATGTGTTGCGCGGTGCAGGTGTTAAGAACAAACATGCAAATCACATCGAGTCCATCGCACAGGTGTCGTGACTCCCTGGTCCTTCCTCACCTTGCTCGGGAGGAAATGGAAGCTTTCCAGCATGTAAAGCCAGCTCCAAGGCAGAGTCTTCCTGAGTCACAAATGGCTCAAGATTCAAAGGGAGGGACATGATATACTGCCCAATCTGAAACAAAACAGAGCACTGTTAGCCCGGTATTACACATACAGGTAATTACTTCCTGCAATACATTTGTATGAAGGCAAATGGTGGAGAGACAAAATTGCTAGACCTGAGGCTACCTTAAGCCTCATCTTTCCAGAATGTGCCAATACTGATTATGGTAGGACCTTTAAAAAAATCATTGGTAGTTTGTATGTAGATTATAGAGTCATCATACTTAGTAATGGTCCCAATATTTTTGGAATGCACTCAATACAATCTCTTCCTCAAATGAGGTAACAGACTTCAAAGGGCTTTGTAAAATTTGAAGCACTGCATAAATATGTGATTATTACTGTTCATAGACAAAAAAAGAAAAAAACAATAAGATGCTAATGTCAAGTGTGTGGCCAAGCAAGAATTCAAATCCTATCTTATATTTGAATCTGGTTCTCTTCCTTCTAGATGATTTAATCAGAGGAAGAAAGGAATCCTGTTTGCAAAAAGCCATTTTTAATTATAAATTAACTTGGAGAGAAAACTATATTGTTTTCAGAATACAAACTCTTAAAAATAAAGATTGGAGGAAAAAAAATTAGAAAAACAAAACCTTGGTTGGTGGGGAACTAGAAAATGTAGGGCAACAAGACATTTAGGTCAAGCCCACAATTATTAATATTATTTTGAAACGGAATCTTACTCTGTTGCCTAAGCTAGAATGCCTTGCAACAGCAACCTCAGACTCCTGGTTTCAAGCGATCCTCCTCACTTAGTCTCCCAAGTAACTGAGACTACAGGCCTACCACAATGTCCAGCTACTTTTTCTATTTTAGCTCTTGCTCAGGCACTCACCTCGGCCTTCCAGAGTGTTAGGGTTACAGGCATAAGCCACCACACCCAGCCCGAAAAGCCCACAATTAATAAAGTATTTGTCATGCATTTCTCAGGCATACATGTGACATGATCACGGTGTATTTTAGACATCATTTCTATTCTAATTCCTAATTGTTTTGTGCTTTAAGGTTAAGTATATGTTTTGTTTCAAGATTAGGTTGATTTTCAGGTTGCAACAACATATTTGTTTTAAAAAGTCTTTGAGCCTGTTGCTGTTTTTTCTTTTTTTCTTTCTTTCTTTCTTTTTTTGGCTACATAGTCATTCTGTAACATTCATCTCACTAATCCTTACACCCACAATCTAAAAGTCAGAGGACTCGCAAAGTAAGATCTTCTCAATCTGGCCTCATGTCCACCTACATAACAGCAGGTCCCTTCCTGAATGTGGTGTCCAGAAGTAAACAAAGACTCCAAAATCCACCCAGCCCAGAGATCTACAGGATGATTATATTTTTGTGTCTGAACATTTAATGTGGTCTGGCTGGACTACATCTAAACATTTAACAGTTCATTGTGCTAACAAAATATTATTATTTTGGTCTTCCTCTAAAGAAGTACATATGCAGATGTAAAATAAATTCAATTGGTATTTTTTCCTTTTATTTACTCAGTATAATTTTTCATTTGAACTAGGCATGTTGCCACTTACCTCACTAATAACAACCACCACTGCATTTTCAGCTTGAAAAATCGCAATAAATTCATCATTTTCCCCCAAATTGGAGGAAGATAAGGATGCTGATTTCTGGTGCTGGTTCTCTGTCGTAATTTCACACAATAAGCCACTGCTGAACATCTACTATGTGCAAAGAACCCAGGCATATCCCTATATTTGGTACACCTTTCGTCTATAGCCATGACCTTTTGGCTAAACCCACCAACCCAGTTTTACTAGAAATAAAGCATCATTATTCTGATACCTTGCATACATGTTATTTTTACATTTTCAAAGCATTTTTTCACATTTCATCCCTATATAATGCTCACATGGTTCTGCATGGATGAGGGCACTCTCAAACAAGGCAAATCGTCATTTAGGCACAAAATTACAATATTCTGATACTTCTGACTTCAGCCAACTGGCCTGAGTCTGTAGGGCCTGCTGTGGTTCCTAGACAGAGTCCACAGCTCTGGGTTTCTCTCAGGAATCCTGTCTATGTTTATTCTCTGGAAATCACTGAGGAAAGGGATGCTTACTATCACACCTATGGTTATTTGCCTACTAGCCTCACATATTCAATAACATCTATTGATACTCCAGTTGGCTTAACTCAGTGACTTGAGAAAAATGACACATTTTGTGGTCAGACAGACGTGAGTTTGAGACCCGGCTCTACAACTATAAGAACTTGAGCAACTTAATCTGTCAGGACTTTGGTTTCATCATTGCTGAAACAAGGATGACCTCAAACTGACTTCAAAGGGCTGTGGTGAGGTGAAATTAGCACTGTGTGCTAGGCATGGAAAGCACCTGGCATCCTAACAGAGCAGCCACAGGGTAATGGCTGCTTCTTCCCAGCCCCACGCCCACTGCCCAGGGCCCTGCTGCCTGCCTGAGAAGAAGGGCAACTGCCCCTGTCTCACGAACATGATGCAGCCCAGGTAGAGTCTCACATTGCCAACCAAAGGCCGGCACTGTCCACACACATAGCACATGTTCAGTAAATATTCCCTTCCTGAGTTCAGGTACTCATCAGCCTCCAGGTACAATGACACCTACAGGCAGGAGGGTCATAGCAGGTAGGAAAGAGCCCTGACCTGGAAAAACTCCTCCCAGCTCTCCTCACTTCTCTACCCCTCAGCTTCTTCAACCTTTGAATCAGCTCAGTCTAGCAACATCATTTTCTGAATTAATCTATGTTGTAATATATATTGTCTTGATTCTAAAAATAAGACTATTCCCATTGGTGGGCCAGGTGTGGTGGCTCATGCCTGGAATCCTAGCACTCTGGGAGACCATGGCAGGAGGATCTCTTGAGATCAAGAGTTTGAGACCAGCCTGAGCAAGAGCAAGACCCTGTCTGTAAAAATAGCCAGGCATTGTGGCAGGCACCTATAATACCAGCTACTTGGAAGGCTGAGGCAAGAGGATCGCTTGAGCCCAAGAGTTTGAGGTTGCTATGAGCTGTGATGCCACAGCACTTCACTGAGGCAAGAAAGTGGGACTCTGTCTTAAAAAATAAAAAAAATAAATTAATTAAGATTATTCCCATTGGTTGTGAACACTAACCTACATCTTAACAGTTTCATCAGCATAAGATACTGGGTAGTGCTCTGGAAAATGTGATTTTAGACTTGATGCTGCTCCACATGAACAGAGAGCAGAGTGCCAGCCTGCTCACTGCTTGCCCCAGGACTGCCATGTACTTCTTCCAACTGTACAATATTTACTTTTAGAATTCCTTGGGCGATGGGTACATTAAATGCCCTGACTTCACCACTATACAATTCATCCATGTAAAAAGAGAACCTTATACACCCCAAATCTATTGAAATAAAAAATAAAATTTTAAAAATAAAGAAAAGCAAGAAAAACTTTTAAAAATAATTAAATAAATGGAATAAAATCCTTTTACATCCATTACAATAAACTTACATAAAGGTTGGATGCTAACGTGAGTGTGTAAGGCAGAAATCACCTTGAAAATCGCCCAGATTTCCCACTGTGAGGTGTATGTTGTTTGGGGTATATTACTCCTACACAACATTTCTTGTACATGATATACAAGAGTGACCAAGCTACAATTCAGGAAGGAATGAAAACAAAGGTCATGTGCAGATGTCTGGGTGACTATCAGTTCCCAGGGTGAAAGGGGAAATAGAAAAGGGCTCTAAGAGGCCCTGCTCCCCTGAAAGGTTTATTCTGTTCTCATTTAATGTTCAGCCTCTAAACAGTGGTTCTCAACCAGTGGGTTACGACCCACAGGAACTATATTAATGGGCTGTGGCGTTAGGAAGGTTGAGAACCACTGCTCTATAACCACAACTCTTCTTGATAGATTTAGCTGGGCATGGTAGCTCATGGATGTAATCCCAGCACTTTGGGAGGCCAAGGCTTAAGCATTGCTTAAGGCCAGGAGTTCAAGAGCATCCTGGGCAACATAGGTAGGCCTCACCTATACAAAAAATAAGAAAAATTGGGCAGTGCCTGTGGCTCAGTGAGTAGGGTGCTAGCCCCATATACGAAGGGTGGCAGGTTCAAACCCGGCCCCAGCCAAACTGCAACCAAAAAATAGCCGGGCATGTGGTGGGCACCTATAGTCCCAGCTACTCAGGAGGATGAGGCAAGAGAATCACCTAAGCCCAAGAGCTGGATGTTGCTATGAGCTGTGATGCCATGGCATTCTACTGAAGATGACAAAGTGAGACTCTGTCTCTAAAAAAATAAATAAATAAGAAAAATTAGCCAGGTGTGGTGGCGTGTCCCTGTAGTACCAGCTACTTAAGAGGCTGAGGTGGGAGGATCACTTGACCCCAGGAGTTCAAAGCTGAGGTGAGCTATGGTCATGCCACTGCACTCTAGCCTGAGTAAAAGTAAAACCCTGTTTCTTAAAAAAGAAAAAAAAAAATTGAATTTGAATTCAGAACCACACACACACTGAGCTTCTGAAGAGTCATAGATAGGAATTTGGCCACCTTCCTCCTGGCTTCCGAATTCAGAACTTCCTATCCTGGACTCTGAGGAAGTGCTCTGCTACACTTCCCCAAAGTCAGGATCGGGATGCAGACTCCCCAGGAGCAAAGGCCTGGGCAGCACTGACGGGAAACAACTACTCTGTCTGGAAGGGCCAGAACTGAAAGACAAAGTGAGGTCTGAAATGCTCAACCACCCTGCAGAAGCACACAGAAGCTCTTACATTGCTGATGTACTCGAGTGGGGTGAGACTAAAGGCAGGCAGCTCATCCGTGAGGGTTTCTCCAATGCCGGCTGTGTTCCAGCTCTAGGGGAGGAAGGAGAGGAAGCAATCAACACCCCAGAAGCACCCCATGAAAATATATGAAGGACAGGGACTTTCCCACAGGCAGTGTCTTTGGTCGGAGCTGGCCTTTGGGACTGTCACCTCTGAGCAGGCCAGGGACTTCTCTTTAATTCTTCACCTTGAAGCCCACCACAGAGAAAGTAATGGTTTCTCTCTCTCTCTGCATTCCTGCAGATTCATAAGACAGGAACTGCTGCCTTCTCAGCTGAACTTTGGGGTGAAAACCAATCCCTTTTGTTTATCTTGCTGAGAATGTGACAGGAGAGAGTCAGATATTTTTCGGTCTGACTTTCTCTACATGATGGGGTCACCATGTAAAAAGGTGCTGGACACAGGCAGCCTTACGAATTCTTGGACCTTTTGCACCCTGGAGAGAAGAGGACTTCCCCTGATCTTCCAGAGGCCCCATGTCAATCCCTTTTACTGGGATGGAGCCTCCAGGCCCCCACAGCTGCCACTCTGTCCTCTTGGGATCCCTCTGTCTGAGAACCTCAGCACTAACATTTGTTTCTTGACATTTAAAGTGGAATAAAAAGTCTTCGAAACTGCTGTATAGCGTTAGGCAAATTACCTGCACACCTATGCTTACAGACTGGCGTGTGGCACACCTTCACACAAAAATCCAATTTCCTAATTTCAAATTGAGCCACCCTAAACCCAGCCTGGCAAAACAAGGCCCTTTCTGGCTGAACTCCGGGAGTGACTCCTGAGGTCAGGCGGGAGCTGCTGTCTACAGCCACCTGATGCCCGATCTGGTTGCTTGATCCTTTAAGTAGCATTCCGGGAATGGAATGACCATCTCCACCCCTGGGCTTCCTGCCCAGGCTAAGCCTCACCAGGCCTCCCCTAACACCAACTCCATTCAGTCTCATGCTGTTGGTGAGTTCTTTTCTTCCCCCTACCCCTACCATGCTGATCCTATGGTTTTCTTTTTTTTTTTTTGCACTTTTTGGCCGGGGCTGGGTTTGAACCCGCCACCTCTGGCATATGGGGCTAGCGCCCTACTCCCTTGAGCCATAGGTGCTGCCCCGACCCTATGGTTTTCTAGCCTCTTTGGTCTTGCCACCCCACAGAAGCACACAGAGCTTGAGATTCCTCTTACATTTCAAAATATATATATTTTCCAGCTAACTCCCAACCTGCTGAGAAGGAATACACCAGCCATCCACATTTATCAAGTGCCTGTGATACACAATGTCTTGTGCTAGGCTTTGTAGGGAAGATACAAAGAAAAGTAAGACATGGTCTTTGCTTGCCAAAAGCTACTTGGGGGGAAGCAAGACCCCCTGACATTCCCATTCATTATACTCCCACACCTTCCATCCTTTCTCTCCCCTCCTACCACTTGCAGCCTTCCACTCCTAGAGTTCTATGTCAGATATAAGATTTCATACAGTAAGAGTTCAGAAGAGCAAGACTCAGAGAAATCAGAGAAGGGGTAGCCACAGGATGTTTGTTGTGCACAGAGATAGAAATAAGGGTCGGTGCCTGTAGCTCAGCGGCTAGGGCGCCAGCCATATACACCAGAGCTGGCGGGTTCCAATCCAGCCCAGGCCTGCCAAACAATGACAACTATAGCCCAAAATTAGCCAGACATTGTGGCAGGCACCTGTAGTCCCAGCTACTTGGGAGGCTGAGGCAAGAGAATCACTTAAGCCCAAGAGTTGGAGGTTGCTGTGAACTGTGACTCCACGGCATTCTACCAAGGGCAACGTAGTAAGACTCTGTCTCAAAAGGAAAAAAAAAGAAAGGAAGAAGGCTGAAGAGGGAATGCACAGCTCTGAACACCAAGGTAAATAAAGGCTTTACCTTCAACAGATAAATTGCAAGAGGGAGAAAAGAGAGAAAGAGAGATGAATGGGAAATCTATAGTATATACTGCAATAAATACCAAGATGCAGGATTCTGGTTCCTGATTTAAACAGTTAAAATCAATGATGATATTTACAAAACAACTAGAAATTTGAACACTGACTGATATTAAGGAATTATTGTTCTTTTCCTTTTTTAGAGGTGATTATGGTATCAAGTCCTTATATTTTAGATAAGGGGGTGTATGCGAAATTGGATGGCCAGGACTTGCTAATTGTTGAAGTGGGTGATAAGTATAGAGTTCCTTGTATTCTTCTCTCTACTTGTGCATAGGTTTGAAAATGTCCATAAGAAAGTTTTTTAAAACTGACTATCAGACTAGCCCTGGGGAGCCAGGGAAAGGTCTTGAATGGAGAGAGATAAAACCAGAGCAATGCTTTATGAAGATGAGTATAGTGGCCCTAAGGAAGACTGGGGGTTTGGAAGAGGCAGATGAAAAGCTCAAAAGCAGATTAGAGCTGGGTGGTGGCCAAAGCAGGGTGGGGGCCATGGAAATAGGTGGGATATACACAGAAAAGGAAGGAATAAGAACCTTTGGTGGTTTGTGGGCAAAGAAGGGCATAGCAAGGGGGCTGAGGTGGTTCAAATCACGTTAGTTAAACAGAGTCATTTTATGAATGGAAATGGTGGGGAGGCAGAGAAACAAAGTGACAGGAAGAGCAGTGGCTCTAAGAGAACAGAATCACTGCAATCCATCCAAGGACAAGCATCGTGGCTCAGAGGCCCTCAGAAGGTTTCAGAGAGGAGACTAGAGGAACAAGATGAGAACATGATTATGGAAAAGAAGTTCAGAAGAAGGGCAAGACACAGTGGCCTGAATTAGGAGGGGCTTAAGAAGCAGACAGAGGAGTACATGTGAAAAGAGCAATAGGGAAATGGTGTAGATTATATTTTTTAATTCAAAATTTATTAAAACATCCTTCCAATGGGCTTTTCTATCCATTTATCACCAGGTAAAATAGGTAAACTTCAATAATTTATTCTGAAATTGGTGTTGGTTTATAGGCTTATATATGGTGTTGGTTTATAGGCTTATAAGAGCAATACAATTTACCAGCAAATGTTGAAAACAAACATTTAATGACCAGGGTTTAATTTTCAAATCCTTAAGGCCAGAGTGTTTGCCTTCGTATTGTGTGCTGGCACCCTCAGAGAAGCCCTCCTAATCTCCAGAGCTGCTGTATCCATTCCCAAGGGCCTGCAGCATTGTGGTAAAGCCTGAATGAGAAGGTAAGAGCCACGTGACCAAACCTGAATCATAATAATGACCTCTGGAATGCAGAAGTAGAGGTAAAAGGACAGGTGGGAAGCACTCACCCTGTTTAAATGTAGAACTAAGTCTAAATAACTGGGAGAATTAAGGTTTCAGAACAGAAGGTCAGTATCTTAAGCTTTGACAAAATAAAAGTAATACAAGCATCAAATCTGGAGTTGGGGAGGGAAGAACAGAGGTATAAGGAATGCTAATCCTCTCATCTTTCAGAGCAGATGAATCAGTATCAATATCTCTCTAAAAAGGAAACATGATTAAAAAAAAGCAATGACTCCAATCTCTTAACAGTTTTCGTAATCCTTTCTTCTTAACCTTGAAGCAATCTGGGAACTGATATTTTCTTGTGGAGAATAAGCAATTATCTCAAGTTCAACAAGTCTTTTGGTTTCATTTACTTTCTCTTTGTTTCTAGTTCATTATAAATACAATTTATATTGTACACGTTTTTTAAAAAATAGTATGAGTAGTATAATCCGACTTCTCCCTAAGGATCTATCTACTAATCAGTGCCAACTTAGCCTTTAACATGTCCATGAGTAGACATGCAGGGATGTCTGGATTACTGGATACCAAATGCTACACTGATTATTTCTAAATGGTGGGATCTCGAAAGGGTTCACTGCATTTTTTCTTTGTACTTTCTTGTATTGTTTGAGTTTCTGAAAATACGTATACTTTTATTTAAAAAAAAAAAGTCATATGTCTTAAATGAGAATCACAGGAAGAAACTAGCATTTATTAAGCATTTACCCTCTGGCCAGTGCTGTGCTAAATTTTATCACTTTGTCTTCACCAATCTATATGATGAGAATTACTGTATCCCCATCACAGAGAGGAGAAAAGAGAAGCTCACAGAGGAATGAACAAACTCAGTCATGCAATGCCCTGAGATCATGTATGGGTGGTACCCAGGACTACTTGTCCTGTTCACTCACATCATTTCTACTCCAGTTTTACCCTCCAATTTCACCAGAAATGCAAAATCTGATTGAAGTAGATCTCACACATTTTGCACAGAATAGTCATAAAAAGTAAAAATCACAGAATCTCAAGGGAAGGGAGAATTTCGAAATCACGTTAGTTGAACAGAGTCACTTTATGGATGGAAATCCTGAGACCCAGAGAGGGGATAAGGCCCGACCAATGCCATGAGGGCCCTTGACTTAAAGTCGAGCAGGCTTTCTGGAGGGCAGCAGGAAGCAAGGAACTTGTAATTCTGCCATATGAGTTCATGCTATTTCCTAAAAGGATCTCTTGGTTACTGAAGGCCCAGCGCTGGGATCCAAATGGACTGAGGAGTCAGCAAGCTAGATGAACCAGGGAGGTATCCCACCCAGTAACTCAAAAGGAAAATGGCCAGATCCGGACCAGGGGAAAGACAGCAAGTAGAGAAAATATGACTGAGAAGCAATGCCTTGGAAAAGAATCAGGACAAGCAGCAAAGAGGGTGCAAGGCAAGGAAGGTGAGAAGACTTTCGAAACAGCTAAATAGAAAAGGTATGAAAGAAAGAAAGTAGGAGAACCCTCCAAAGATTAATTTCAAAAACCAAGATTAATTCTGATAAGGCACTCTACTGAGTAAAGTTCCAGAACCAATTCTACAGAAATGTTTCATGTAGCGTGAAAATCATTCAATCTGAAAGGACAATTAGCACTTCTGACCTGGCCTAACCTCTGCAGTGGCACATAACCTCCCCTCCTACTCCCTGAGAAGGCTGAGCTATGCTCCAAATGAGAAGAGTTAATCAGGCAATTTTAATAATCCTAAGAAACTGCCTATAAATAAAGTAGCAAAGTAACTGCAATTAAGATAAGAAATGCATGTTAAGCAATAAGCTGAAATGGGGACGTGACTCTGGCCCAGGAGAGTTAAAGGGGGATCCTCCCAAAGTTCTTGGGGCAGGGAGGGATAAGCTCAATATGCTTGAGCAGAAGACAGGACGGGGTGGGGCAGGGGTGGAAAGGAATCGCTGCAGACAGTGAGAAACTCACATCCATCTTGGAAATGAGTGACAGCTGCTGTTTGATGCGCAGGAAGACAGAGTCGAAGGCCAGCTGGTGAGCCTGCTGGTTGAGGCGAGTCAGGGCTGCTCGAGACAAAGCCAGCAGGTTGTGATTACTTGATCCTTTTTCCTAAGACAAGAAAAGGCAAAAGACAGTAAAACATTTTGAAAAATCACCAAGAGAAAAATGGTGGGAGTCGGGGGGGTTTCTATACAACAGTGGTTCCCAAACCTGGCTGTGCCCCAGGCCTCTTTGAGAAACGTGCTGAAGTAACAGATTTACAAGCTCCACCTCAGAACTACTGAATCCAAGCCTAGTGGGGCTGGAATCTAGGAACCAACATTTTAAACTCACTTTCCCAGGTGATTCTGATGCATGTGGGCTAATATGAGCTCATAGATTGGCAGTTTAGGAAAAATTAACCTGTGACCATCCCTTCGGGAAAGAGGAGAAGGGAGAAAAAGATCAGAAGTTTCACATATAAACAAGAGTGACAATTCCCAGGAGGAATTGAGGTCAGGTCAAATATATTCAGTTGAAAGCCAGAGTATGTACAACCTGTGAGAGACTCAAGGAATTCCAAACAGCCTGAGAAAATACAGAGATGGAAAGTGTAACCTTAGTTTTGCTATTATAAACGAACTGATTACAACACACATAAATCAGATTAACAATAAAGATAAAAAGAGTTGCTTTAACCTAATCACAGAAGCACAGATGAATGAGTTTACAGAATTGCTGTAAGGAGTCCTGTTTGTCAAACTCAATGCGGCCAGCTAGTGGGTCAGGGAGCAGAGAGAAGGGGAGACCCTAAAAGGGTAACACTGAAGCCTCAACCACGTCCAGGCACCCTATGTAGTTCACTCTCAGAGCTCCAGGCCCTACGTAATTTTAGATTGCATTTGGTGCTGCTGGAATGGCATTGTCTCCTCTACCCATCACCCACAGAGTGAGGTTCAAATAAGATCAGAGAAAAAGGAGAAAAATTAATCTTTCTGGAAAGAATGCCTGTGATCTTCTAATAACCCTGGAAGCTGTTCCCAGGGGACTATGCAGTTTATTCCGTTTATTGGGAAGTTCTCCTGTCCCTGGACTCCAAGGGGTCCAAACCTCAAAGTCTTAAGACAAACTAAGAGTTGAAAGACAAAAACCAAGAGGGAACACCTATCCCCAAGTCCTTGTGGGGAAGAACTTACAGTAGTGTAAATTCCTGGCAACTGGCCACCTTTGGTTCCTCCCTTGGAGAAAAGGAGTGGCTTCTCTGACAGCTACGCTAGGGCTCTCTTTTATGAGTTCTGTTTACCAGCAACCAGTATACCCCTGGGCCCTTCTCTGCCACTGAGTAAAAGGGAGAAACCCTGCATGGGGTCCAGGGGCTGTCCAGCTCTGCCAATCTGGTTGACAAATTTAACACTTGGGTGATGTATAGCAAGTCCCTTTGGCTGTAGATCTAAAGTCACATTTTCCAACCTGACTTTTACCAGTAGTAAGATCCATCTATCCAACCACATCTGTATCTAAATGGGTTTCAATTCTGTTTAGTTTACTTGCTCCTCAAAACTCCAACATAAATGACACAGAGAAGTGGCCACAGGTCATGCCATAGCCCAGGGCCCACACATAGCAAGAAGGCCTGGGTCCTAGCGACAAAGAAGGTAAGTGACAAGGGGAAAGCTTTCATTTGTGAGAACACCATCTGTCTGGTCTCATACCTTGAGGGTATAAAGTATTTCCATTAAACTGGCATATTCAGCGGGGTTATCTTTCTGCAGGTAATTATATTCTTGCCATGGGTTTTTGGCAGAGCTCTTCTTGTCCGTCAAGATACTATCCTGAAAACCAGCCAGGCTCCAAGGGCCACCAGGGTCAGACAGATACTTCCCAGCTGTAGACAAAATCCTGCAACAAAAGTGATAACCATTATGCCCTGAGCTATTTTCATGGAACTTTCTTCTTGGAGCAGTTAGATTGGTCCTCACTAAATTCTAGGATGTCTTCACGAGAAAGATTGAATTAAGGTGCAGTCTATAAGGAAATTAAGATATCCTTCATCCTTTAGGGTGAGGTGGACCTCAGGTACACAATAAAAAACAGGTGTAAAAACTATTTAACACTCATGCCATCAGAATATGTCATCCTCTTATGTGACACCCAGCCTACACAGGGCAGTTCTCAGCTGACTACAATCTGGAACACTGTGTACTTTCTATGTAGACCTTTCTTGCTATATGACAATTATGGTGGGACAGTCAAATGCCATAGTGAGCCACCAGAACTGCCATCACAGAGACCGCTGGGCAGGGCAGCAGGCTAACTGGTCCCCGGTCAGCAGCTCTTACCCATGGCACTCACCTCTGTCCCACACTCTGAGCTGGTGGTTTTTGTGCTCACCAGCAGTGTGAGGTTTATTTTTGTGACTTAGGTACTCCAGAGGAATCTGAGAGAAGCTAGCACTTTCCAGTTTCTTAAGAAAAAAAATTATCTAGAGAAGGTTCTAATGATCCTCAGTCTCTAGTATTGCTGGGGACAAGGAAGTTCTGCTTCTAACAAGAATGACCTTTTCCTGATGCTGAAAATCTTGTTTTTCCTTAGCCTACCTTTACCATTCATCCACATACATAAATGTGTCCACAATTATATGAACAGAATGTACATAACCAGGAGAAGAGTATTATATAATAATACGTCCCGGCTCGACGCCTCTAGCTCAAGCGGCTAGGGCATCAGCCACATACACAGGGTGGGTGGTGGGTTCAAATCCAGCTGGGGCCTGCCAAATAGCAATGACAACTACAGTCAAAAAATAGCCGGGCCTTATGGCAGGTACCTATAGTCCCAGCTACTTGGGAGGCTGAGGCAGGAAAATCGCTTAAGCCCAAAAAGTTTGAGGCTGCTACTGTGAGCTGTGATGCCACGGCACTACTGAGGGTGACACAGTGAAACTGTCTTAAAAAAAAGAATATTGGGCAGCACCGGTGGCTCAAAGGAGTAGAGCGCCGACTCCATATGCTGGAGGTGGCTGGTTCAAAAACTGCAAAAACTGGCCAAAAACTGAAAAAAAAAAAAAAAAAAAAAAAATAATAATATGTCCCAGTTGGGGCTAATTCCTTGATCCCTCCTTTACTGCAATTTCTTACGAAAATAATTACTTTGTACATAGAAATTTCTAGGTCATGCCCAGTTTTTCAAAAACAGATCCCTTGAGTTTGTTAACAAATGCCTGTACTTACAAATAAATCCTGGGGATAGGATCTTCTTCGGGAAGCATTGCCAACACAAATGGCTGCCTGTGCCTGCCATTAAGGTCAAGTTAGTTTATCCTGTTACTTCAGCCTCCCATTTACTTTCGTTGGATCTGTTGTCTGCCACCACCTCACTTCCAGTCTCCAGGAGTTCTTATCTGGAGGGCAGCAGCCTTCCAATGGGGATTCCCTTCCTCAGTCCTGCCATGTTCCACTTAATCTGTTCTCCTAAAGCTGAGGTTCTCAACCTGTGGGTCACAATCCCTTTGTAACAATGAAAATATATCCTGCATATCAGATATTTACATTATGATTCATAACAGTAGCAAAATTACAGTTATGAAGTAGCAACAAAAATAATTTTATGGTTGGGGGTCACCACAACATGAGGAACTATATGAAAGGGTCGCGGCATTAGAAGGGTTGAGAACCACTGTCCGAAAGGTTAGTGGAATAATCTTTCCAAAAGGCAAATCTGATTTTGTCTTTTCCCCAGAGATAACTCAGTTCCCCAGGATAAAACTAAAAATGTAGAGACATGCATCCAGGTCTCTCCATGGCCAAAGCCCTCAAATCCTTACAAATGTCCCCACTATTCATCAAAGTGCCCACCAACCTCCCCACACACACCAGGCTATCCACACTTGCATGTCTTGCTCACATGCTCCTCTCCCTGAAATGTTCTCCCCTCGCCTATGGCCTGGGGAAATCCCACCCCTTCAAAGACTGGTCCCCAAGGCTTCTCCCCAACCAAACCCTTCCCAATGCCCCCACCAGGCACTCAGTCTCCTGCTCCCATCTGCCTCTTGCCTTTGCCATGCATTTATGCTGTCTCTTTTCTCTCCCACTAGATGGTGAGGACAAAAAACCATCACATTCAAAGGGGAAGGCTTGGGGCCTGTGGCTCAAGTGGCTAAGGTGCCAGCTACATACACCTAAGGTGGTGGGTTTGAATCCAGCCCAGGCCCGCCAAACAACAATGATGGCTGCAACCAAAAAACAGCCGGGCATTGTGGTGGGTGCCTGTGGTTCCAGCTACTTGGGAGGCTGAGGCAGGAGACTTGCTTGAGCCCAGGAGTTGGAGATTGCTGTGAGCTGTGATGCCATGGCACTCTACCCAGGGGGACAGCTTGAGGCTCTGGCTCAAAAAAAAAAAAAAAACATTCAAAGGGGAGGAGCTTTCTTCCCCTCTCATTCCCAGCACCTAGACAGTGCCTGGCACATGGCAGGTGTTCAGTAACTGTTGAGTGGCACATGACTCTGGGTTTGGTGACCAGGAAGTGGGGAGCAGAGCTTTCCTCCTTGCCCTGGGAGAAGTCAGCTGTCCTTGCAGGTTGACTGCATTATGTGTTTCAGTCTCAGGCAGCTTGGGGGAAACTGACCTCGCTCTATCAGCCTGCCCTCCAAGCTGCAGAAAGCTAGGTATGTGAGGAATGTTTTAAGTTGTAAAGAGTGTAGTTTAAAATGCCAGAATAAATATTAACATAACTTCAACCCCAAGGTACTAATGGCACCTAGATGATCTACTTATTAGCAATTACTAACTAATCTATTATAGCATATACATTTATTGAAGTAAACCTTACTGAAATGAATGCTTGATTTCTTCATTCATCAAGGAAATGTTTTCTCATCATTGAAATGGGCTCTAAACTAGGTCTTGGGGGATATCAGGTGATTAAACACAGTCCTTACCCTGGAGAAGCAAGGCCTGCCCACACCACTGTGCTCATTCTGTGCCAGGAGAATGCATAAGTGAGCACAGAGGAAAGAGCATCACACCTCAGCCTATTTCCTCAATTCATTTCTTTTTCACAAGTTTTATTTACTCCTCAGCCATGGAATCCTGTATATTTATCTTGGATTCTCCAAACCAGACTGTCTCATTAAACTGTCCCACCAAGACCTTATCCTGGTGAAAATACTGCTATTCCTAAAGTAAGCAGTGAGTACTAGGAAAATATAGAGTAGCCATAGCAACCTCCCTATATCTTATCCAAGTTGCCCAAGACAAGAGAAATCTCTCAGGTGAAATTTCAACCCAGCTCACAAATCACAAAATGATCCCTTTCTACAAAGAGGTAATCTTCAGAGCATGGTGGCCAAAGTCAATCTTGTCACTGAAGCAGTCTAGAGTGTTCTGAGTTGTTGCTTCTGCTACCCACCTGCTGGTGGGGAGTGGTCTTTAGTAGAAGCCTGGGTACTGGAGACGAGATTGATGGGGAGATAAGATAAGCTTCACAGACAGCTACGCAAGTGCTGTGCAGCCTCCTGGACGGAACACAAATGGCAACTTTCCCTTTCCAAGCATAGTGCTTCCAGGATGACATCTCTCTCCAAGGCTTCCTTGGAGACATAGGCAGTTCTTTTCTCACATCAAAGCTCAGCCAAGTTTTTAGCCTCTCAGCTGTCAAATGCAGTTAAAGAGGCTCATCATTTGTCTATCATGTTCCCATTCATCCTCCAAACCAGCTCCTTCCTTACCCTGTCAGAGTCATCTTTGTTAAAAGATTAAGGCAAATGTGTGTGTCCTGATATGGAAAGGTGTCTGCCACACACATTCACAGAGAAACGCAAGTCTACGGGCAGACACTGATCTGTGAGGAAGGGCGGTGTGGGGTGATGCTCACACTCTGGTGACTCACGGATGCCAAGGTTCAAATCACTGCCTCTCAGGCACAGCTTTTCCACAAAGAATTTCTTTTTACTTAAAAAGCTATTCTTTATGACAAAGCCTATGCCTCAAAGTTCTTTTATCTGTAAAAACAGGGATAAGAGGACCACCTACCTCTCCTGCCACTGGGAGGATTAGTGAGTTAATTCAATAAAGTCCTTAAATGTTAGTGCTCAGCAGAAGAGGTAGAAATTGTTAATGTTTTTTCTGGAGAGAAGGATTTTTATTGTGAATAGATTTGTGGTTTTCATTTTGTGTACTTGGGAACTGTTTTTATTTTTCCAACGAACTATTGTAATTAAGAAAATAAGCTACCTGCCTTTCTTTTAAATATCTAAGTGCTAAATTTTTACGTCTTCTTGGGAGTTTCCTGGGACCTACTCACCCCTAATCATATGCTGCTCCCAATGTGAGCATGTTGGGGAGGGGTGTGTGTGCCATTTACTTCATTTATATTATTTATACATGTTCCACTGGATACCTGTAGTGCTTTGGTCTTATTTTCTCCACAGAGTCCCATAATTTCTGTGCTGGGCATTTGGGAGTTAGAACAGCAACAGGTGGTCCCATTCTACCCTGCTGCAAGAATTTCCCCACACTGAGAACCATCACAAAAAATCCTGGACTTGAAAGTAGTCCACAATCTCTCCGAGATAAAGGAAGACAGAGTCAAGAGGAGAAGAAGAACAGTCAACAGAGTCCAAGGCTAGTCTGACCCTCCTCAGCAATTCACTCTACCTTCCACCCAGCCCACTAACCCCATCTCCCCACCCAGCCCCACTCATCTATATTTCCCAAGAAGCCCCACTCACCCCCACCTCCTACCTGGCCCCACTCATCCTGTCTCCGACTCAGCCCCACTCACCTCTATCTCCACCCATCCCCACTCACCCCCATCTTCCACCCATCTCCATTCATCCCTGTCTCCCACCCAGTCCCCATTGGGGCTCAGTCTTCATTTTGCTTTGTACCACTGCCCCAAATTCCATCATCTGGAGATTGCTTTAGGACAATAAAGCAGCATCCTAGAAGGAGGGGGACTGCTGCTGGTGCGGCAAACAACTGCAAGAAACAAACTTCTTCCCTTTAACTCCTGAGAACAGAGATAGCTATACCAAGAGAAAGGGAGATTTAGCTGAAAGAAAGAAGCAAATTTGGGAAGCTACAGCCCTTTGAGGGGATAAACAGTCTGATGGGGTTATCTCAAGGCAATGTAAAAGCCCTGGAAGGTACTAGAAGGGGGGGTGGGTAGAGCAAACTTTTCTAGGGCAGATCCCAGAAACTCCCCTTTGATACACAGCCCTTTGACAGACTTCTGCCGCAGAAGCCAGAAGGCTGTTGGGGTTAATTCTAACTCTGTGGGCTGGCTCCAGGGATTTACCCACCACTTATAACACTGTTTCTATGGGGAGATTTATTTTGAGTCCCAATTAACTTACAAACAAGCAGCTGGAACCTAGCCCATTCATAATTTGGAGACAAAATGTACTATTTCCTCATTAAGGCTGAAACCACCATATCTAACCAAAATTTTATGACCATTGCCAAGTAAGACAGAGGCTTGCCCTGTTTAGGTGCTCAATAAACGTTTAATGATGACAATAATGACACCTTGTATCTGAGTACAGACAGTCCTCGAGTCCTGTGGCTTTCATATTTGACCATATGTTATTCTTGCTGTACTATGTTCTGGACTAAATTCCTCCCAACCAGGAACCCAGGGACTAGACAACAATGATACCTCTCTCCTACCTGTTTGCCAGCTGCTGCTCAAAGTCCCCACACTGCCGCAAGAGCTCTCCACAGGTGGCTATTATTCTAAACAAAACAAAAAGCACTTCAAATTCAAGTATCTGGAATGCTGGACAAACATTGTTCTCATTCATAAAAATTCTAACTATTCATTCCTTTTGGTGGTGCTGGGTTCTGGGAAAACAGTTAACCATTTGATGGCCAAACTGAAATGCTTCCTTAATTATTAGTTAATATAACAGGTAAATGCTGTTCCCCTCTAATAATTTCCAAGTCACTGGCATCTCTACTACCAATCACACTTGTATCCCATCACCACCTCAAATATTTTACATTTTCCAAATACTTGGCTTTGTTCTTGAGAAAATGGGGTAGAAAACTTTTTATCTCAAATTAAAAATCAAAATTTATTACTTTATTTGTTAGATATCTGCTATGTTTAAGACATAGAAAACTGCTTTGATACTAGAAGTGTAGCTCTCTCTGATCACATAAAAGACAGATGAAGATTAATACATTTGTTTCTCAGAGATAAGCCTCAATGATCATCATATCTGCATTCAATAATCCTTTAATTTTCAAGTGATTTTATGCCAAGCCTCAAACTCTAGCCACTGAGCCCTTCAACACCAAACTCATAATGTCTGGACAAATCCAAGGATTAAAAACATCTTAAGTCGGCTCAGCACTCATAGCTCAGTGAGTAGAGCGCTGGCCATATACACCAAGGCTGGCAGGTTCAAGCCCGGCCTGGGCCTGCTAAACAACAATGACAACTGCAACCAAAAAATAGCCGGGTGTTGTGGCGGGTGCCTGTAGTCCCAGCTACTTGGGAGGCTGAGGCAAGAGAATCACTTAAACCCAAGAGTTTGAGATTGCTGCGAGCTGTGGTGCCATGGCACTCTACTGAGGGTGACATAATGAGACTCTGTCTCAAAAAAAAAAAAAAAAAGGAAAAAGTCTTAAGTCTAGTTAACATTTAACTTTCTCTAAAGGTGCCTATCATCACCAGGGTATCTAGGCATTCCATCATAAGAAAGGTTTATGAGAAAGTAAAATATTCCATTCCCCTCAGGTGCAACAGAACAAACTTGTACATAATATTTTCCAGTGTACCAAACCACCCAGATGATAAGGGATACAGTTAGTATCTAGACCATTAAATTTCATCAAAAAAACTTGAAGTCCAGAACATAGCCTATGAGGCAATAATCTAAAATGGCCCTGGATCTACCCTGACAGCCTTCAGTGGGTGACAGGGGGTGGGGTAGGGACCTGGATCTGCTCCAGCATGGGCCACCACTGAGAAATACATGTGTCATGGGTATGCTGCACATATCACCTAGGCCAGGGGTCAGGTAAGACATGTAAGCAGGTGAAATGGGCCAGCTGAACAGCTCCTCTCTTTGTATAGCTCTCATGAGATTTCATGCTTTTGCAGCTTCTTACCGTTTATTTTCATTTTTAATGTAGCAATAAAATATGAATTAAACAAATAGAATGTACACTATGAAGGATGGTTTTAAGAAAAGGAAACTTTTAGCATGCTTTTTATCTCAGCCTAACAGTGCAGTTGTTAGACCATATAAACTTCCTAACAGCATGTTAGACCACGTGGGAGAGGGGAGAACCAGAACTACAACAGAGAACACTGGGCCCAGTCTCAGCTGGGCAAGACCTCAGCTGCCAGCCTCAGGGGATTACTGTAACAATGCAGGCCCAGTATTGCCAGAGCTCCTAATTTTTTTAAGCAACATTAAGAATCTGATTATGTTAAATCTAGTTTTTGAATGTTAGCAACTAATCTATTTTTTTTAAATGCTATGATAGAAAAAAAAAAAAAAAAAAAACATGTCCAGAGGTTAGATCTGGCCATAGGCCAGCAGTCTGCACTCTCTGACTAGACAAGTCAAAGGCCAAACCTTCTCAGTCACTGCTCATCACACTCCCACCAGACCTTAGGACTCAGGCCAACAGAGTGTCTACCTAGTGACCCACAGGTCACATGGGCTATCCCAGAATCTGGCCATCAACATCTACTTGACAAGGTCATTTCAATGCCTTCCACTGAACTCTTATAAGACCCTTTCCAGGCCAAATAATGTAGCTTTACCATTTAGTACTATGGTTCTTAGATCCAGAAATAGGATCCAATCAGCTGCACATTTTCTAAAATATATACTTTTCAGTTATTTTAGGTTTGTAAAAACCATAGGCTAAGGAAGAAAAAAAAAATCTCCCATCAAACATTAAAAAAAAATTGAATCATTAAATGAGATGAGGCATTCACAAAGAACTTTTTAAAATATTTTAATAGCTAAAGGGTCTTTTTCTTGGATGGATTTTTGTTGATTGGCTTGTTTTCAGAGTATCTGCTTTTATAAAAAGGCAGTGAAAGAAGAAAATTAAAAAAAAAAAACAAGAAAATGAACCCCTCACAAACACATTTATCATTTTTATATACTACACGATGTATGTTTACACTTGCTACATAGGACACAAGCTTAAATTACAACGCCTACTTTACCTAATGGAGTTCTGAAAAGCCGTCCAATCTTCTTGAAAAAGGGAATTGGGAGGAATATCATCGAGTTTGCACTTCTTCCGTATTGACTGGAGAGTATTGGTGAAATCAGACACATACCTACAGGGAAAGGGAAAATGTGACAAGGGTGTCATCAACTTCCCAACTCTAAAGATACCGGGAATTCTACAGCTCTGAACAAACTGCAAATGACCTTGAGAACATCTTTAGAGGCTTCCACTGAGGAGTGACACTACTTGTCAGCCTCTGACCAGAAAAATGTCTTCTCTATGTGGTAAGACCGTCTTTATCACCTGGCAGAGCGGCTTCATGAGAGATGCTAAAGAGGAAAGGGAAGGGGACAGCCACTAAGTTGATTCTAGTGACCAACCAGGTGAGAAACGATGCTAATCCTGATGAATATGTTTCTTTGGCAGCAGGCTTGAAGAATTGGGTTAAAACATCATGGTCCCACTATAACAACTACCTGTGACCTGGGATAACTTAAGGCAGTTTACTAATAGCCAGGAACTTTAGCAGCATCCTAATCCCCTGAATTTAGATTAAACAGCCACGGCAGACAGATTAAAGTCTTATGGCTCGTAAGGGCCTGACTTTAATGACAGATCATGAAAATAGACTGAAAGCCAGAAGACCTTCCCCCGACCATGCTGTTTGCTCTGGCTGTACATACATACTTTTCCTTCATAGCACCAAACACACTGTAATTAAATAGCTTGCCTGATGTTTATTGCTGTTGCTAGACTTTATGCTGTAAGAACAGGGACTTGTGGCCCTGCAGCTGATAATTATATTCCCAGGAACTAGCACAGAGCTGGGCACCAGCTGACACACCTGGATATAGCTCCTGAATGAACAAAAGGCTTGCACTGCAACCTTGGGCAAGTACCTCAGTGTCTGTGGGCCTCAGTTTCCTCATCTTTAAAAAGACTTAGTAACAACATCTTCTGTATTGCCTCACAGAGTAGCTGTGATGATGAAGTTAAATAAATAAAATACACCAAAATTCTCTGAAAAGCATAAAATGACAGCTGATGTGGGGTGGCTTTGTTTCTAAGGCCACATAGTTCTTGGGATATGAAATAAATGGGTGTCCTTGGGAGGAGGGGTGAGGAGGATGAAGGGTGTTCTCTGGCAGCCAAGGAACATGTGACCTCTGGTGCAGCCCAAGAAGGCTTGCCGCTCTCCCTTCCCAAACCAAAGCTCCAGGCAAGGAAAGTGGAACCTGATGGCTCAGGGCAAGGGCCTGAGAAGTCGGCTGATACGGTGGAAAGAAAAGCCATTCAGTAGAACCAAGTGGAAAAACCAAGTGCTTCAGACCACTCCACCAACTGCAAATGACGCTGCTGCTCCTTTACAAAGACCTTTAGGCTTTGAAGTGGAAAACTATGGAAACCAAATCCCACTGACAGCCCTTCCCTTCCTGCCAAGACAAGGGAGAGCTTTCTAGAGTTATCAGTCCTTGAAGGGAGAGGGATGGGCCTCAAGACAGGGGAATGCTAAGGGGCATAATTGCGCGTTAGCTGTGGGAAGATGAACAACTGTGTTACCACCCTGCAACTAAGGCAAATATGTGTGAGAAGAATACACCATCCAACAATCCTTATCCTTTGCAGAAGCTCCTTGGCTGGTGAGGAGGACACAGCACATCTGGGGAGGGGGAGGGTTGTTTGGCAACAGGCACAGCTGTATACAAATGCTTTCTATAGTTGCTATCCTTCAATCCAGAATTCCAAGTAGGTTTATTAAGAAGTCTCAGAAAGAAGTATACTTTTTATCACATCATTTTTGTCTTCAAGACCTCCAACTGTCTTTCGCAATACACATTTGCAAGTGTCAACCAAGTGGGAGTCACTATGTTAGGGGCTTTCCTGACATGCTTTCAGTTAATACTCACAACCTCCCCGGAAAGGAGATATTATCATCATTAATTTATTCAGAGGAAAGACGTCAGAACTCAAAGAGGGGCCCTGAATCTGCCCAACGTCCCAACTAGTAAGCTGGTCAGAATCTAAGCCCAGGCTGGTCCAACTCAGGAGCACCCAACATAGCCCTCATACCCCTCCTTCCTGAACCAACCTGTCAGCCGCATATTCTACATTTCACCTGAGTTCAAAGTAGGACAATCTACTCCTGCCTCCCCTGCATGTCCCACCCTACCCATCCCTACCACCCTGATGCCTTTCCCAACCCCTCCTCACCACTGAACAATGTCCCATTTGAACGCAGCTCAAGTTAATTTCTACCAAATTTCCCCAACTAATTTTAGCAACATTTGCTATTTTGGTAATGCCAAAATCTTCCCTTCTAGAGACAGAGGCCTGGTTTCACCAGATAGCCTTTTGTATAGTTTGAATGTTTAATACAAATATGGATTATTTTTAAAAACGAAGTAGTCAAAATAACCAACAGAAGAACTAAAACTACAATGAGCTCAGAGAAGCAGGGTAGAAGGAAGGCGTAGCCTTGATTTTTTAAAACTTAGGTGCTTACATTTCATAGTAGAGAGTCAAGAAATAATATTTAAAGTTTTACACTGGCTCAGCACCCATAGCTTAGTGGTTGGGGTGCTAGCCACATGCACCGGGGCTGGCCGGTTTGAACCCAGCCTGGGTCTGCTAAACAACAATGACAACTACAACAACAAAAACAAAAAAAATAGCCAGGCATTTTTAGTCCCAGCTACTTGGGAGGCAGAGGCCAGAGAATCACTTAAGCCCAAGAGTTGGAGGTTACTGTGAGCTGTGACACCACAGCACTCTACCCAGGGTGACATAGTGAGACTCTGTCTCAAAACAAACAAATAAGAAAAAAAAGTTTTACTTCTGAGGAGAGAGACAAAAGGAGGCAGGAAGGGAAGAAGACTTTCACTTTCTTATATCCTTTTTTGTAGTTTTGTAAATCATTTCTAAAAGCATTATTTTTGTTTTGTCATTTCATTAAAAAGAAAATTTTATGGGCGGTGCCTGTGGCTCAAAGGAGTAGGGAACCAGCCTCATATGCTGGAGGTAGCAGGTTCAAACCCAGCCCCGGCCAAAAACTGCAAAAAAAAAAAAATTTAGTTCCCCTCCAAAAACCCAAACATTTCCATCCACAAAATCACAATTGGGGGCAGAAAGAGCAAAAGGTAAAATTGTATTTGCATAAAACTTGTCGCTGATGCTTCTCGTTCTATGGGAACATAGCTGGATGCCTCTGTGAGCAGTACACTGCAGCTGCCCTGGGAGGTGCTGACTGCCTGTGGCAGTGAAGGGGAGCACTGGGTCCCAGGGCAGACCTCACAGGGGTGTGTGCTAAATATTTCTACATCAAGAGCTCCCTAAATTTACTACAACAAATAGCATTCAATTCAATAAACGGAAGTTCTGAGACTCAGGGGAAATTAATTCTGGAACAAACTAGTAATGGAAGGTCTCTTGGACAGCATAAGACTGTATTATCTACATGCTAGAAACTACAGCAAATAATCAACCTCTCCCCCTGACCCCCGCCCACCACCAAGGACCCTTACACCTCTATTACATAGGTCAGAGAATTCAGCCCTGTACTGCTTTCTTTTTCTTCTTTCTGACAAAATTCAACTTCAGTTTCCCTTCCTTCCTTCCCTCGCTCTCTTTCTCCCTCCCTCCATTCCTTTCCTCCTTCCCTTCCTTCTTTCTTTTCTTTTTGGTTTGTGGTAATAGCCTTATTGTGATATAATTCACATACCACACAATTCTCTATTTAAAGAGTTCAATTCAATGGTTTTAGTATTTACAGAGTTGTACAACCATCACGTTTATCACCCCAAGAAGAAATCCCATGCCCATTAGCAGTCATTCCCCAACTCTTCCAAATTTCCCCAGCCCTAGGCAACCACTAATCCATTTTTTTTCCTATAGATTTGTCTTCTCTGGACATTTCATATACATGGACTCATACAGCATATGGTGCCAGTCTTTTGTGACTGGCTTCTTTTACTCAGTATGAAGTTCATATTGGCTTTTAATTTTATATTTTTAACTAAAATATTTTATATTTTTAATTAGAAATAAGTGAATTACATGACTAGAAACTTCTCTCATAAGGACAGAAGAATGGCCAATGAACACATGAAAAAATGCTCATCCCTAATCATCAGAGAAATGCAAATCTAACCTCCTTTGAGATTATCACCTAACCCCAGTGAGAATGGCCCACATCATAGGCCCCAAAGCAATAGTTACTGGTGTGGGAGTGCAGACAAGGGAACACTCATGCACTGTTGGTGGTGCTACATATTAGTGTAGCCTCTATGGAAAAAAGTATGGAGATTCCTCAAAGACAAACCTACCATTTGACCCTGCAATTCCACTACTAGGCATTTACCCACGTGAAAAAAGGACATTCTACCACAGAGAATGTGCACTAGAATGTTCATAGCTGCTCAGTTCATAATTGCAAAGATGTGGAAACAAACCAAGTGCCCATAACCATGAATGGATTAATAAACTATGGTATGTGTATACCATGGAATACTATTCATCCCTAAAAAAAGATGGAAATTTTGCATCCTTTATAACAACCCAGATGGATGTGGAGAACATTCTCCTAAGGATCTATCACAAGATTGGAAAAACAAGCATCACATGTACTCAATACCAAATTGAGACTAGAAGGTTAACAATCACAGACCCACAGGAAAGAAAATCTCAATTCAACTCAAGAAGGGAGGATTGTTGGCTCGGTGCCCAGTAGTTTCGGCACCAGCCACATACACCAAGGCTGGCGGGTTCAAACCCAGCCCAGGCCTGCCGAACAACAATGACAACTGCAACAAAAAACAGCTAGGCATTGTGGCTGGCACCTATAATCTCAGTTACTTAGGAGGCTGAGGCAAAAGAATCACTTAAGCCCAAGAGGTTGAGGTTGCTGTGAGCTGTGACGCCACGGCACTCTACCAAGGGCAACATAGTGAGATTCTATCTCAAAAAAAAAAGAAGGGAGGAGTGGTTTTATTAGCTTCCCACCTACTGGGTACAATGCATGGATATATGGTATACTCCCTGGGTGTAGGACACAACTACAACTCTGATTTTTACCTGTCATGTGTAAATTATATAACTAAATGGCATATATCTTCACATTAATTTAAAATTAAAAAAGAATGGAGGCTCGGTGCCTGTGGCTCAAGTGGCTAAGGC